TCAATACAAGGCAAGGGTTTTCGAAATATTTTATCATGGTATCGAGCTAACCAAACTCGATATCCAACGACTCGAGAACACAATCGTACTTCTAAAATGGCGAGAGAGGAGAAGCGGTGAAGAAAACACCATCGCCATACGATCCGAGTGCCGGTGATAATCCTGGAAATGTGATTACACATGTACAATTACGAGGAGAGAATTACGAGGAATGGGCAAGAGCCGTGAAGATATCTTTACTGGCTCGAAGGAAATGGGGTTTCATAGATGGAACTCATAAGGAACCTGAAGAAGACACATCCGAGATAGAAGATTGGTGGACAATTCAATCGATGCTTGTATCTTGGATACTAAACACTATAGAACCTAGTTTGCGTTCCACTCGTTGCATACATGGAAAACGCAAAGGACCTATGGGATGACATCAAGGAACGATTCTCGATCGTGAACGGACCAAGAATCCAAGCAGACTAAAGTCGAGTTGGCGGAATGCAAACAACAAGGAATGACTATGGTTTCCTATTATGGGAAGTTGAAAACGTTGTGGGATGAACTGGCAAATTACGAGCAAATCCCACAGTGTAGATGTGGGGGATGCAATTGTAATATTATGACGCAACTTGAGAAACGAAGAGAAGAAGAAAAATTCATCGAGTTCTTGATGGGGCTAGATGATGAGGGCTATGGAACTGCACGATCAAATGTTTTGGCAACAGATCCATTACCCTCGTTGAATCGGGTGTATGCCACCATGGTGCAAGAAGAAAGGGTGAGAACAATCACCAGGTCTAAAGAAGAGCGAGGAATGATCGTGGGAATGGCTATGCGAGCGGAAACCAGGAACAAGTTGCGCAATGAAGCGAAAGAAAAATCAGTTGTCTGCATGCAGTGTGGAAGGAAGGGACATGACAAAGGCAATTGCTTCGAGATCATTGGTTACCTAGAATGGTGGGGAGAGAGACCACGAACCGATAGAAACTATGGAAAAAATCAACAAAGAACAGGAACCTTCCGAGGGAAAGGAGGAACGGCTCGCGTCAATATGGCGCACACTCGGTGCAGTATAACGTTGGTTCAACCGAAAACCGAAGTAGCAGGACCGAGTAATGAACAATGGCAGATCTTGACAAGCAATGTTGAATTCTCGCAAGGCAAATGAAACCGAAAAGATGACCGGTAAGAAAGCATGTGACTTGTGGATTATTGATAGTGGCGCCTCTAATCATATGACAGGAACACTAGAAAACTTGAGGGAGAGTCGAGCCTTGGAAGGGTGCCCGAGTGGGACTACCAAATGGTGAATTGGTGTCGGCAAACAAAGAAGGATCAGTTTTCCTTGATGGAGGACTCGAAACTTAAACATGTTCTATATGTTCCGAAATTGAATTGCAATTTGATTTCAGTGTCACAATTGATCTAATGAAGTAAAATGTACAATACATTTTATCGATAGATTTTGTGCAATGCAGGACCACACTTCGAGGATGCTCGATTGGAGCGGGTGAACGAAAAGAGGGACTCTATTGGTATCGTGGTGTGAGTGGCATAAAGGCGTATCGCACCAATGCGGAAAATCAACTAGAGATTTGGCACAAGCGAATGGGACATCCTGCCTACCAGATTGTTAGAAAAATTCCGCATCCGAACAGCGTAGAATAAAAATACGGATACAACTCGTGTGTGTGAAGTGTGTGAGAGATCAAAGCAATGTAGAAACACATTTCCTTTAAGTGATTTTCAAGCATCCAATATATTTGATTTAATACATTGTGATTTGTGGGGTCCATATAGAACTCCCTCGTCTTGTGGTGCATCTTACTTTCTCACTTTGGTTGATGACTGTTCTCGAGCTGTGTGGATATATCTCTTGAATAATAAGAAAGATGTGTCACAAACCTTAAAGCATTTCATCGCTTTAATAGAACGACAATACGAGAAACAAGTCAAAATATTACGAAGTGACAATGGAACCGAGTTTATGTGTCTTCAACGATATTTTCAAGCAACATGGGATACTCCATCAAACCTCATGCACTCGGAACACCTCAGCAAAATGGGAGAGCCGAACGAAAACATCGACACATCCTAAATGTAGCTCGTGCTCTACGATTTCGTGGAGAACTTCCACTTCAATTCGGGGAGAATGCATTTTGACCGCAGGATACTTGATCAATCGTACACCCTCAACCGTTCTCCATGGAAAAACTCCATATGAAATATTGAATGGGAAGCCACCCACTTATGACCATCTACTGGTATTTGGATGCTTGTGTTATGCACATAACCAAGATAGGAAAGGTGACAAATTTGCAAGTAGAAGTCGCAAGAATGTATTTGTTGGATATTCAATCGGACAAAAGGGCTGGAAATTGTTTGATCTAGAAAGAGAAGTCTTCTCGGACTTCGAGAGATGTTAAATTTGTAGAACATGAATTCCCGTTTGCCTCTCTTGCCCACAGTAGACATTCGGAGGTAGGATTGCCTACCGTTGATGTCGGCATTGTCGAGGAAGCATTGCCTGGACTTGGTGCAATGAACAATGCGAAACACGTTGTGGAGACCGATAACGTTAATCCCACAACGTAAGATGTGCCCACAACCGAGTTCGGGGAGGGCCACGCCTGAACAAGAGCCTCCCACCCGCATCGTTCTCCCACCGTAACAAACCGACTCTATGATGACGAAGTAGAGGTTCCCGAGGAGCATACTGTCCCCGCATCCTCGGGGAAAGGTCTTCGTGTACGAAAGCCATCTCGTGAAGCTTCGTGATTATGTCACTAACGCCACTTTACAACTCTGGTCCCTCAATTCGCACTCCACATTCAGACTTCCTCGGGTATGCCTTACGGTTTGACAAAGTACTTAAATTGTGCTAAATTCTCCTTCCCCCACCGAACCTTTCTTGCAGCCCCTTCATGCGGAGCGAGAACCCGTGCATTTCTTTGAAGCCGTTCGGGATGTTAGATGGAGAGATGCCATGGCTAGTGAAATTCAGGCCCTCCAAAGTAATGAAACATGGGACATTACTCCTCTACCTAGCAGGAAGAAGCCTCCGGGTTGCAAGTGGATTTATAAAATCAAATATCATTCCGATGGGAGCGTTGAACGCTTCAAAGCCCGATTAGTTGTCTTGGGAAATCACCAAGTTGAGGGGATTGACTATGACGAGACCTTTGCCCCAGATGGCAAAGATGGTCACCATTCTGGACAAGTGTTGGCAAGTGGCAGCAGCCAAAGACTGGGAACTCCATCAAATGGATGTCCATAACGCTTTTCTGCACGGTGATCTTGAGGAAGCTGTGTACATGAAAATGCCGCCAGGGTTCTTGGTGTCTCAAAAGGGTATGGTGTGTCGTCTCCGCAAATCCCTTTATGGTCTTCGTCAAGCTCCTCGGTGTTGGTTTGCCAAGCTCTCAACTGCTCTTGTTCAATATGGGTTTCAACGTTCTTCGTCCGATCACTCCTTGTTCATCTTTCGCAAGGGGATGTCGAACCTGGTTGTGTTAGTTTACGTGGATGACCTAGTCATTGCAGGCAATCATCATGAAGACATTGCGCAATTCAAAGATTATCTTCATCAATGTTTTCATATGAAGGACTTGGGGAAATTAAAATACTTTCTGGGGTGGAGGTTGCCGGATCTCCTACAGGAATTTTCTTGTGTCAACTGAAGTATGCGTTGGACATCATAGCCGAAGCAGGATTGCTTGGAGGGAAACCCGTGTCCACGCCAATCGAAGAAAATCATCGTTTAGCATTGGCCGATGGCGAACTACTTTCCGACCCGAGTCAATATCGACGTCTCGTCTGGTCGCCTTATTTACTTGTGTTTTACACGACTCGAATTATCTTACGTTGTTCATGTCCTATCTCAATTCATGCACCAACCGCGTCAGGAGCATCGGCGGGCTGCACTTCGCGTGGTACGCTATTTAAAGGGCAGCCCGGTCGTGGTGTGCTTTTAAAAAGAGAGAGTGACCTTCGTCTTTATGGTTGGTGTGACTCGGACCGGGCAAGTTGTCCTCTCACTCGAAGATCTCTCACCGGTTGGTTTATTTTCCTTGGTCAATCCCCCGTTTCCTGGAAAACCAAGAAGCAACATACGGCTTCACGATCATCCGCTGAGGCGTAATATCGTTCTATGGCCAACACGACATGTGAGTTGAAATGGCTTCAAGGCCTTCTTTCGAGCCTAGGCATTACTCACACCGACCCTATGACTCTCTACTCGTGACAACCAAGTCGCCCTTCACATTGCCAAGAATCCTGTGTTTCATGAACTGGACAAAACATATTGAAGTGGATTGTCATCTTATTCGTGATGAAATACAACACAATCATATCCAACCCTCCTATGTGTCCACTCATCATCAACTCGGCTGATCTCTTCACCAAATCTCTTGGCGCCACTAAATTTGGTTCCTTTTTAGGCAAGTTGGGCATTCATAACCTTCATACTCCATCTTGAGGGAGGGTGATAAACATAGAATATACATAGAATATACGATTACAAATACCGTATCGTGCCATGATTCTACATGATTATTTTTTCCATATTTAGCTTGGCATGACAAATGATGCACATTAATTTCATATCTCGTTAATAGACAAATTTAGGATACCGACTATAATGGTTAGCGTAATTATAGCTTAGAACGTTTCTGTATTTCATGTATATATTGTGCTATCATATTCAATACAAGGCAAGGGTTTTCGGAAATATTTTATCATAAACCTTATTCAAAAAAACTTATAATTAACTTAAATAAAAAAAAAGTCAAATTAAATTCATTAAAAAAAAGTAAAAAAAAATAAACAAAACACTCATACACAAAGCTAAATTATTATCGAATTCATGAAGATAAAGGTGGGAATAAATGAACCTAGTACCAAACCCACACTTTTACAGAAGAACATATCCCAAAACCAGTTTCACACTGTTCCCTGAAACAGCAACTACAATGTCCATGATGCACTAATTAATGGAGTGATTATCACCATCAAGCCTCTTCAGAAGTTGCAGGATCCTTGGTCGTGCTTGAAGGGTCTTCTTCAGAAACCTTTTTAGGGTATTTTTTAGCATTGAGTTGAACCTTTCTCAAAGCAGCTTTGCCAAGATCAACACCACACATGTCAGAGAGCCTCACAAGGTAAAGCAACACATCTGAAAGTTCTTCACCAAGATGAACTTTTTCCTCTTCTTTCCAATCTGGAAGACCCTTTGGAACCTCCCCTTTCCACTGAAATATCTCAGACAATTCCCCCACTTCACCCACCTGTGGGATCATTGGAAAGTTAAAAGGTAAAACAAAACTCTACGTACCAAAAACTTAACCTAATTTTTAACAAAGAAATAAGAGTGAAATTGGAGAAATAAGTTTGAATCTATAACTAGAAGACAAAGTAGAAAAATACAAAAAATAAAGTTCCGTATTTTAATTCAATTCTTCAACTCTTTCTTTCACTTTCAATGAAATCAATTGGTATTTTAATTTAAAATTGATAGACATTTAGTCATTTTATTTAAAAAAATCCATGATTTCAACATATCTCTAGTTTTGCATCTATTTTATTATTCAGTTATATTCTAACCTAATATATTAATATGAAATACCATAAAAATGATTTAATTAATCAAAATGTAAGAAAAAAATACGAAGAGAGTTCAAAATTTTATTTAAACATTAGAAAAAGGGCATAAAAAATAAAAATATATATATATATATATATATATATATATAGCAAAGTGTAATTTTACTAGTATTGGAAAAAAATACTAAAGCAATTTTAAAGAAATAGAAAGGAAACATTAATATATTTACTTTTATTTTGCTAAAATTAGAAGAAAGAAAAAAAAGATTTTTTATAAATACAATAATAATAAATCCTCCATTTAAATTTCAAATCTTTTACTTTACCCCATTTTTTTCACACCTTGGCAAAAAATAAACCATGGGCAACATGAAAGGCTTTGGGATTTAATAATCTTTCCAAAACCTAACGTCACTATAAATACAATTTTCCAAGGCCAAATCTGATGAGGGCTAGAAATAAATAATAATAAAAACTTTTTAATGTAATAAATGATGTTTCACCAATATAATAAACAAACATTTTATTCTAATATTTTAACCTGAAAATGCATAGAATGAAGAAAAAAAAAATTGTCAAAAAGATTGAAAGTTACCAACTTTATGAAAATACAATGTTTCATGACGATGACAAGAATAATCTGCTGGGTCAACATGCAAACATCATTCGATGAAGAATATAAGAAATTAAAAGGAACCAACTTTAAGAAAAAAAAAAAATCAATGTTTCCAGATGCATGAATGGTGAAAACAAACATCCTCTGATGGGTCAATATTTCAAACGCCCCAGACGAAGAACAAAAGAGATTAAAAGGGACCAACTTTGAGAACAAAAAAAGAGATCACTGGTTTAAAATGCATAAATGAAGATACCAAATACCGTCAGCAGTGTCATAATCTAAACTCCCATATAAAGAACAAAAGGGGCCAACTTTAAGAGGTTCCCAAATGTATAAATGACGACAACAAACATCCTCTGTTGGATCAATGCTCAAACACCCACGAAGAACAAACAATAAAGTTACCAACTTTAAGAAAATATCAATGTTCCCAACCCAAATGCATCAATGATGATAACAGACATCCTCTACTGGGTCAATGCTCAAACATCTATGAAGATCAAAAAGGAATGAAATGGCTCTCCTTAAGACCCTTCCTTAGATATAACACACAAAATCAAAACCATTGACATAGGTATCCTTGAAAAATGACACATACAAACAATGTTCATGCAAGGTACAATGACTAGAAGAATCAAAACACATTTTTTTGGTTTTGTCTGAAAGAAAAGCATACCATAGCCAAAAGGAGGTTCCTTGGGCTATGAAACTGCTCCCAATTCCTTTCCTTTGCAAACTCATTCATAATCTGCTTAAGCTGATCAAGAGAAACTGGTGCATCTGCAGGAACCCCAGTCATCTTTTCTAAGCACACAAAGTGAAAATGAAGAAAAGGGATAGAGAGAAATGAAAATGAAAATAGCTAACACATGATTATATAAGGACCATGGGACAAGAAAGCGAGTGTGAAACGTTTTTGTTTTTATGGAAGGATCACTCGAATTGGAAAGAGAATAAAGAGAGAGAGAGAAAAAAAGGGGTTTGAAACAAAAAAGGTTGATGCTGCACCAGTGTCATTTTAGGGAATTGGTGGAGTTTATTTTGTTGTTTTTCTTCTTGAAATTCGTACAAAAAGAGTGTGAAACCCGTGGTGTGGACCCAATTATTTTTTATTTCAAAAAGAAAGTTAGATGAGTTGTTTTTTGAAAATAGCATTTCCAATTGTATGAAGTTATTCGAACTTTAATTATTTATTTAGTGTTTAGAATTAAAAAAGGTTTTTCAAAACTTATATTTGAAAAATATGGTTTTGAAAAACCTTTTTTAGTTTATATATAAATATATAAAAAAAAATATTTTTTAAGTATCGAAAATAAAAATATTGAAATTATAAAAACAAATTAAATCATTTAAATTTTATGATATTCATAATTTTAAATGGGTAAAGTTGGATATTTTAGTTTAGGAATTAAAAAAAAATGAAATTTTGTATAATTAAATGAATTTTATTAATTATTTTAAAAAAAATAAGAATTCATTAATTTTAATATTTAATGCTTTATTTTTTTTCCTTTGGCATTGTGTCTCATTTAATGTGTTTTACTTTTTTTCCTCTAATGTTTTTATTCATTTAATATGTATTACTCTGTCCATTTAATGTTTTCTTTTAATGCACACATTCAAAAAATTAATAACCATTTATTTATTTTTATTTGTAATAGGTATATAATTAAAGTTTACACTAGTGGTTAGAAATTATTTACTTGATGTATTTCCTTTTATATATTTTCAACGTTGTGATTCATGAAAAAAATACAGTAAATTTTATTTATTCTAATAAAATAATTCTCCAGTTTTTCATTTTATCGTTTTTTTTCATCTTACCATAAATACATCAATATAGTATTCAAATATTAAAAAACAGGTAAGATATAATTAATAAAATAATTATTAATGAAAGACAAATAAATAAATAAATAAAATTAAAAGTTAGGATTGTGACTTTGCCACCAACCTTCCAATTTGTTACCTGCAAGACTTTATATATTAATTCATAAATTATTTTCATATTGCATTCGTTAATTTAATATGTTTTATTTTCTAATTTACTATTTTAATTAATACATTTACTAACATGAGTTTTTTTTTTTTACTTTTAGTTACTAATTACTATAAGATTTTGTTTTTATTTTCAAAATTACTTAAATAATACTAATATAATAAATGCTACTAATATTTTAATTGTAGAGTATCAATTTTTTTCAATAAGGTACTTCAAAAAAAAAACATTTAATATGTTTTATTTATTTTTCTTTAAATATTTTATTTTAATGCATACGTTAAAATTTTAACAAGTATTTATGTATTCGGTTTATTCAATTTTTATAATTAATTAAAGATAAATATTTAATACAGTTACATCTTTAATATGTATTTACTTTTTATTTGTTATCATTTATATCTTTAATTTTTTTATGTTTTCTTTAGTATTTTATTTTATGAAGACATTCAATTTTTGAATAAGAATTTATTTATTATGTTTATTTAATTGGCATAATTAATTATAAAGCAAATATTTAATACGTACTTGTATATGCGCGCGTGTTTTATAAATTTGATAAAATTTAAAGTTTGTTTTTCTACTTAGTATTTTATTTAAATAATGCAACCGTTATTTTTTCATTTTAGTATTTTTTTAATACAAATGTTTAAAACTTTATTAAGTTTTTATTCATCATTTTTTAATTGTTTTATATAATTAATTAAAGCTAAATTTAAAAATAAAAGTTGTGAATGACACGTGTTAATGTTGTAATAACAGTAAATAAATATAAACATATTCTTATGCAAATTACAATAAATAAATACTCTTTCCATTTCTGAAAAAGTGTCTTTTTAATATTTTAAAATATATGTTTTTTATAAATTTAAAAATAGATTAATTATTTTTAATTAATTTTATCTTTAAAAATTTTTAAAAAAATTAACAGACTTCTCTTATACTCAACTATATTAACATGTTAAGTGAATTGAAATTTATTATAAAATTACATGATTTCATATCATGATGAAAATATATATAAAGTTGAACTTTTAATTTATTATATTTGACTTATTTAATATGTGGAAAATTTTTTGACACATTAAATAATAAACAAATATTACAATTAATTTTATATCATTTGGTAATTTTATGTAATTCTAAATATCCTTTAAGAGGAAAAAGAAAGTAGAAAATGTAATTATTTGAATTAAGAAATAATAATAATAATAATAATAATAATAATAATAAAATCATAATTGATAAAATTAATTTGATTTATAAATAGATTAAATAATAAGATAAATTTATTAATAAATAAAATATAATTAATATAAATTTAATAAGAATAAATATAAAATCTAAGTTATGGTTTAATATAAATAAATTATTTAATAAAATAGATAAAAATAATAAAAGTAATTTATATATAAATTAAAAATAAATTTATAATATTTATATATTTATAGTTTATCATTTATTTTCATAATAATTTATAAATAATATTAAATTATAATGTATAAATATACTTAATTATTCATTCAATCCATAATCAATTATACATTTTTAGTATAAAACCATAATATTAAGGTTAAATAGTAAATTATTTCTCCAATCAATATATCTCATGGTAAGGTAGTTTAAGACACATGAAAAGGTACAAGATACATTATAATCATTATTTTTTTTAGTAATTTTACTCAAATAAATTTATATAATATTAAGCACATTTATATATAATGATTCAGTACTGACAGTTTATTAAGAGATGAGGTGAAGTGTAATATCCCAACATAATTATATTAAAATATTTATGAATATAAATATATTTAATTATTTATATTATATATATATATATATATATATAAAAGTATTTAAAACAAAATATTATAAGATTTTTATATATATTTTTAAATAAAACAACTTAAATTTTTCTTTTCATTTCCTCCCAATGTTGGAGACTAACTTTATAAAATGACATCTACTCAATACGTAAATCATAATTCAGATTAACATATGACACAATTTAATTAGGTAAGTTAGTGACAAAAAAATTTCTATATAATTGTCACAAAATATTTTCAATATTCACATCCTAAATAAATAAATAAATCAAATATCTCAACTATATAATAAATCAAGTATTCAATTTATCAGTTTGCAAGCTACAACTCATGTTATTATATATTGACATTTAAAATTATAGACACTTGACTCTATTTCTGAAAGATTCACATCTTGAGTTTATACTTAAAGATTGATATACTTGTCACATTACTATCCCTAAGTGGATATTTCTAATATAGATACATACTTGAAACACGTTTCCTCGTGTGACAAGATAAATCTTTATGACTTGCCACTACAATTATTTCTCATACCATAAGTTAAGTCATGAAAAACTTCCTTCAACTTTCACCATCTAATATTTTTCTCTATATGAGTCAAGTATCAATAAAGTTAAAATATATTCTCCAAAATTTCAAATTCAATATATTACTTACATTTCAAGATAATATTTCCTCCTTAAATATCCCTATGTTAACTTTCATCAATATATCAACTATAACACACACAAATATATATATATATATATATATATATATATATATATATATATATATATGTATGTATGTATATATGTGTGTATAATATGATATTTTTCACATCATAGTAGTATATTTTTTTATGCATATATTAACATTCAACACACATTATTTTATGTTAAATACATGTATTCTAATATTTTAAGTATTATAATATTCTAAGTTATGTATATACTATTTCTCACATCACATAAAAAATATATGTTTTTAGATTTGATCTCAGTTTATTTTGTTTATCATAACTTTTTTTACGTATACATCCATTTTAACTAATTCTTATTTTATTGAATAAATTTTTGAGATTTGACATTTTTGTATATATATAGAGAGAGAGAACAATTAATTTATTGTTCAAAATTATTTTTCAAAAATAGCTAAGCAAATTTCAAAGAGAATTTGAAAGCACTTACTGCTCTCAATATTGTATTAAATTCGCTAACCAAACTTAGATCTGTTAGATGGATTCGTGACAATAATAGACTCTGACAACAACAGACTGCATACTCTACTTAATACCTTGTTTCTAATGTTTTAAATCAAATTAAATTTAAACACTACTTTCCAACACTACTACAAAATATGTTTTTCACGTCGCCATTTAACACGTTGAATACACTTTCAAAGTCGATTGGTTAAAAAATGACGTTGAAAGTTGAATATTGAACATATTATACGTCGATATTTAGTCAACCGACGTAGAAAGTACTTTCCATGTCGGTTTTTAGTCACTGACAGGATTTAAACCCAGTATTTTATAGTTAAAAGCTGATATTTTAACCACTAAACTATTATAATTCTCCGATAATAATAACTTACAAATAAATTATATTTATATAAAAATAAATATATATCCGTGTAAATATATATTTATTTGTATATATTTTCCGGAAAGTGTTTTTATTTTTTTTTCAGATCAAAAATTCACTTAAGTTAGAAAATTGTCACCGACAGGATCCGAACCTAATATTTTAGAATTGAAAGCCGATACTCCAACCACTAAACTACTATAATTTTCCAATAATAATTTACAAATAAATTATATTTATATACAAAAAAATATATATCCGTAAATATGTAAATATGTAAATATATAAATATAAAAGATATAAATACAAATATATTTATATATTTTGATATATTTATATATATTTATATAGTTATATATTTATATGTTGGATGTGAGGGTGCGCTCGAGGTGAAAGTGAGATTGACTCTCGCTTGAGTGAAAATACGTTAAAGCTCACGGAAATTCACTCGCTCAAGCCTAGCTTGAGCGAAAATTGGTATTTTTCGCTTAAGCGAATGACGCATTTCCCAAATTTATTTTATATCATTATATAAATAAATTATAAAGATTATATTCTGTCATTAAATTACAAACCCATATAAAGAGACCAGCTCACAAATTTGACATCAAATTTTGAAAACCCACTCGACACACACTCTCACCTTCGAGCGTGTCCTCACATCCAACGTATAAATATTTAAATATATAATTATATAAATATATTAAAATATATAAATATATTTGTATTTGTATCTTTATATATTTACACGTATATATATTTATTTGTATATAAATATAATTTATTTGTAAATTATTATCGAGAAAATTCTAGTAGTTTAGTGGTTAGAGTATCAACCTCCAACTCTAAGGTACTGAGTTTCCAAAAAGATAGATTTTGTTCACATCAAACTTCAATTAACAAATGAAGTTTGAATGATTAAATTTGTCTATTTATTTATCTTTAGTTTAAATTATAAAATTTTGAATTTAATCTCATGGTATGATTTTTATTCTTAATTTACTTAAAGTCAGTTTTATAACCATGAAGAATAATACCATCTTAAAATTTTATAAATTTAAGATTTAGAATTTAGGGTAAATATGCCACTTCACCAAACTCATTACTCAAGTCATAAGAAATTATCAAAATTCAGAACCACCATTTCCTAAGCGCGTATTTCATGCAGTACTTACTTATTGTGTGTCGGTTTATGGAAAATCCAAAGTTCTTATTTTTTATGTTTTAGATGACAACATTAGGTTGACCAAAGTTCATCCTTCCCAATTTTACTCATCAAAAATATCACGTCACAAAACTTTAATGCATATTCTTAGCTCCTTATGGTATATTTTTTCAAATATGTATACACATTATAATTTTCTTAAGAAATTAGTTTTTTCCGTGGAATATCTTTTTAGAAAATTTATCCATAAAAGTTACCCTGATTTTTTAAAGAAAAAATTAACTTATATTTCATATAAGTTAAAGCATAAAGTTTATTATATTTAGAAAATAGGGCAATAATAAATACATATTTTCCTTCTCACTGGAGAAAATGTCAAACCTAACAATTCCAGTTAAAGCATGGGCAGTCTAGTAATTGTAGTTGAGTCTAGAATTCCACACGAGTTGGCCACAATGGGCGATCTGTCGGTTGCTTTCTCTTCATCATGTTCCTCTGTCTCATTGCAGGTTTTACCCTCATTTCTTTATTGCCATTAACCCCACCTTTCTCTCTCTTCATCTTCTCTATCTATTATACTCTCCATCTATGCCTCCACCCTCCTCAAGCTACAACATCAATGGAGAAGATGGAAGAACTCACCAAACTAGCCAAACTCTTGTTTCTACTCTTGGCCTTCACTTTTGCTGCTCAAGTTATAATACAAGGTCATAGTCCTACATACAGATACATGCATTGTTGTTCTACAACTTCATTTTTCTTCTTTAATTAGTGCTTCCTCTATTAATTATACTCAATTATTCTCTCACTCTCTGCTCTAATCTCTTCCTATATATATATATATATATATGTTTTCATCTATATATTTTCCTGCTAAAATTTACTTTCTTCTGCATGTTTCTGTCAAGCATTTTTTGTTTGGTTAGTACTACTACCAAGCAATTCAAAAGGGTCTCGTTGTATATATATTTACTTTCCCATTTTGGCATAGTAATCAAAACTCAATGATGTTTTCTCTGTATGAAATTCACTACCAGTTTTTTATGTGGTTCATCAAATTTGTCACTATTGTCGTTGCAGCCAACGAAACAGAAGCAAGAGTGTTTGAGTCCTATCAACCCCAGAGAGATCAAAGAATAAAGGTGAGCCAAGCACAACTTTGGAATGTTTTTTTCTTTCTTCCTCAAGTGCTTAAATCTGTGGAATCATGCATATATAGGGTGGCAATGAGGCATGGAGAATGAGGAAATCATGGAGAACCATGATTGGATCAACAGCACCAACTTGCACTTACAATGAGTGCAAAGGATGCGAGTACAGGTGCAGAGCTGAGCAGGTGCCTGTGGAGGGGAATGATCCAGTCAATAGCCCCTATCACTATAGATGTGTATGTCATAAATGATGATGATGAATTAATGTAATCTTCAGTTCAAGCACATTTTGGTTTACCTTCACCACTCATCACAATAGACCTATGATTTCTTTTCACAAGTTCCATTACATTCTTCTTCCCAATTTTCATGCGCTCAAAGGTGCAGAACTCTAGCATTTGTCTATGAATTCTATTAAAGTGTTTTTTTTTTTCACTCCAACTCCAAGCATTTAATCATGATGAACTTGATTATATATAATTAATGATATATATATATATATATATATATATATATATATATATATATATATATATACATGATTAGTAGTTTAATAAAGCTATTCATATACAGTTAATTACTTTGTTTTATCTTATTATTTATTTATTATGAATTTGGTTTTTATATTAATAAATATTCAATGTTTTATTTTTATTTTAAAAAGGTAATATAATATGACTGTTTTCATTCAATTAATGTTGTTAAAAACAAATGTGGATAATTTTTATTTATTTATAATGATATTTTATAATAAATAATTTATAAATTTAATTGCGTCATGAAGGATAACTAAATTATTAGTTTTTTTTTAAATGGAAGAACTTATTAAAATTTGAGAAATCATAGTATTATATATTTTTTTAATTTTCAAATTGTAAAAGTTAGTTGAACATTTTTATTAATAGAAAATAAAATGAAATAAATAAATAAATAAATAATAGAAAAACAACTAAACTTACTTTAATATTTAATACTTTTTATTTCAATAATTATGACACTTTGAATTTTTTTACTAGAAAATAAAATACAATATATGTATTATTTATTTTATTAAAACAAGAATAAAGTCAATTATTAACATTGTCTTATAAGTAATTTATTGAATGACAAAGGAAATTGATTATGACTTGTGAAGTAAAATTTATACCATTATATTCACTTAACAATAATCACTTGTGAAATATATTTATTCATGTTTATAAATAGTACTATTGGTGTCATAAAAAGATAGTACTGTTTTATGAATGGAGAGAGAAAAAAATGTTCCACATAACACGGACGGTCCATAATGAATTATAAATATACAGTTGCCTCTGTGACCAAAAAAAAGGCTTATATAAGAATACAACCCTTAATACGTGTTATAATTGAAAAATCTATTTATAGACATTAAAAAAAAGTAATTTTTTTTACTATTTTTGTAAGAAAGGGTATTATTAATAAAAAAAATCGTTAAAAATAAGGTGAATTAAGATATTTTTAGTCCATAACTTAAAAAGTATAATTACATAAATTATAAAAAATAATTTTGAGAAATTAAATATGATTAATTTTTGTTTCGTTATATATTTATAAGTCTTACATGAATAAAAAAATTAAAAATAAAGGTAATATATATATATATATATATATATATATATATATATATGTTAATATGTTTTTAAATAAAAAATTTGTGATAGAAGAAATTTTTAAAATGGCTTATGAATGAAACCGAGATATTTAATCAAAATAATTATTTTGAAAATTATGTTTTATTTATTATTCCATTCTTAAAATTTAAGTGAGAGAACTTTTAATTTTTTTTAATCTTAATGTTCTACAATGCTAATTTTTTAAAATTATATATGTATTTATAATTATAATATTTTCAATTTTTATAGATATTTAAATTTAATAATTATTAAATATATATTAGTCTAAATATAATATTATTATAATTTTTTTATTCACTTATTTTTTTATAAACAGTAAAATAAATAATTAAATAATAATTTTTTTTCATACATTTATTATATATTATTTTATCAGCCAAAATTATTGATCAAATACTCGTTCGTCAAAGATTGGAACTTTGGATGAATGATGCAACGCATATCTTAAGAAAACATAAAAATACAAGGAATATATATATATATATATATATATATATATATATATATATATATATATTATAGAAAAATACATACATACGATAACATAAAATAAATTTAATATAGTAATTTAAGGGTTTTTTTCTTTTTAAGAATAAAATAAAATAAAATAAGAGTGTTTCTTAAAAAATATATTTTAATAAGTTATGACAATATATAAAATAAGGTAGAATTGATGAGATACGGAACACCTTTAAAGTTGAAGAGGAGAATAGATGAAGATATGATGGTGGGAGAGGAAGAATAAGGAAAGAATAGTTGTGATTGTGTAGAATTTTAGGACGCGTGAGAAAAAGAGTAGATGCTAAGTGGCACATGGAAGTGACCCCAAATACTAAAATCAAAGGACCATCACATTGGTACCATGTTTCAACTCTTCATTTTCATTAAATTTGAATGTAAATCTTATAATTCACTGCTTCATGTAGGGGATCGTTGGAAAAACTTTTCTAGCAACGTCTTTAAGGAAAAAGAAAATTTAGTTACTTATTTTTATGTTTGGTCTCATTCTTAAGGATCCTTTTGTACGTACAAATTTAGTTATTTGAGTTTTGACGTTGAATATCGTTAGAATTTTATTAGAATAGATTGTATTTTTTAAAATTTATTTTTATTTGTGATTTTTTAATGATTGTTTAAGAAGTTAAGCATTTGTGACACATGACCTAACTTGACCAAGACACATATTTAATGATTGTTTAAAAAATTTCAACTTTTTTATGTGGCACAAAATTTTGATTTGAGAATACAAATTACGAAGACTCAAACCTATTTAATTAGTGTAGACCATAATTTTCTACAAGTTCAATCCCCATAGAGGACAAGCTGGATTTTCATTCTAATTTGTTACTTAGTATTTACAATCAATTTGATCGAATGAAGAAAGGAAGGGAATAAAGATAAAATAGGTGAAAAATAAGATTCAAAATATGTTTATTTAATGAAAATAAGAAGGGGAAATAAAAAGGTGTGAAGCCCACACCTTCCAATATCTCTTTGAGATGGGAACAATCTTCACTAACGGAAAAAAATATAAATAAAAGTTTGATTAACATTTTTAATCGTCTTTAACAGTTAGAAATAGTCAAATATTAAATTTTGTATTTATCGAAGTCTTTGATAATCACAAAATCTATAATCAATTAAATTAATTTTTTATTATTTTTATTTGTTCTTCTTAATTTCCACTATATTTATTTTCTGTTTCTTTTAAATCAAATTATTATTATTTTGAGTTTTTTTACACACTTTTGAATTTTGTTTTCTCATGTACTTTTTCTCTTTCTATTTTCTCCTCCGCTACGTACACAACATTCAAGTCGAAATCATTTTCTTAACTAAAATTATTTTTTACGAGGTAATTTTTTTTTAATTTAAAATACCGCATGGTATAGCTACTTCTCTTTGTGGATTTTTTATATATAAATTTGAGGGGATTTAAAATTTTGAGTATTTATTTTTATATATGAGATATATAATTTTTTTAAAATGTTTTATTTATGTATTATATAAAAAATAAAAATATAATAAAATATTAAATAATAATAATAATTTTTTAAATAATGTAATATAACTTTTTATTTTAAAATATTATAAAAAATTAATATTTAATTTAAATAAGAAGATAATAAAGTATATATTTCAAAAAGAATTTTTATGAGATTTAAAAAAAAAAAAGAAATTCACAAGAATTGAATAAATTTCATTACATTTATAGTTCTTCATATATACACGAGGCACACAAATAATCATCCGATATGTTAATTGTAACACAAACATAGAATACAACAGTGTCTTGCTTTCCTCGTCTCCAAGAACATTGGAATTTTGATGGCAAATGCAAGTTGAATATTCTTAGTTTAAGCCCAAAAATTAATTAATTGTCGGCCTTGCCATAGGTTCTTGGAAAAGGAATGACGTCTCTCACATTGCCAAGGCCAGTTGCAAAGAGGACCATAAGATCAAACCTTAGAGTGAACCCAGAGTTATTCACTGTTCCGTTTCTACGAAGATCTAGGTACCATTCATACTTCTCTCTTGCCAAACCTAATTCATCAATCCTGCCATTCCATACAAAAGAAAAAGAAAATGTTTACCAAATATGCCGTTAATGGGAAAAAAAGAAGAAATTTTTACATAACCTATTACCAAATGTTTATGATCCCCACCAATTTTCAAGTGATATATAATTAGATTTTTCATTTTACTAAAGAGTTAATTAGACATGATTATGTATCATTTAAAGATTAGTTTGGACATTGATAATTTAAGATAATGGTAGTATAGACCATATAATAATTTCTCAAAAAAAAAAAACTACTTATCATGGGATTTTGTTTGGTTAACACGAGGAAAGCTAAAGTAATCTCATTGATATGGGAACACATTCACGATTTATTATTTATGCATATATTATTGGTCATTAATTTTCTAATCAATAAGTCCAATTACTTTGTTTTCTCTGTAGACTAAGTTGCTCACTTTGTCATGAATTTGGTTTTGGATAGGGTTGTACAAAAATAAAAACAAAGCATTGAAGGTCTTCTTTAGTTTCAAAAGAAAAACAAGCACCAGATTTTTAATTCATCTTTATGGTTAATCCTGATACGATAGTACATCTCCTTTATTATTTCTATTATGCCGTATTAACATTCATAGTTTTCAAATTCTAAGTTATGAACATACTTGTTCTCCTGCTACATTTAATGGTTCATCAACCATTTGTTTCTAAATTTTTTTCCAATATGAAGGCATAAAAGAGATAAGAATTAAACAAGCAGTACCTGGAGCTTATCATGTTAAGACGTTCCTCGTTTTGGCTACCAGAAATTATTGTTCCAAGCTGCAAAAAAGTTTCCAATAACATCAACAGAAGAACGACACACAAACACGTGCCAATCTATCAACACATACTGCACCAGTACTAGTCAATTTGGACATACCTTAGGGACTACCAAGTCAAACGCAGCAACAGTTCCATCATCATTCTGGCGAACGTAAAATGGCTTAGCCTCTTTTGGATAATTGTATATTATTACCGGATTCTTGCATATGACATCAGCTAGATAACTACCATGAAACAAATAGAACCATAAGTAATTGAGAGCGGTGAAGGAATACTTCTCTAGTTAGAAATCAGCAAATTCAGAATATGATGATACTATCAATATACCTTAGGTGCTCTGAAGTGAGTACCAAACCTGGCTCAAAGTTTGTTTCAAATTTCTTATCTTCAGTCTGGGAGGATGACTAATTAGCATTAGAAAAAAAAAAAATCTCTTTGAGAAAAAACAGAATTATAATGGCAGAAGTCATTAGGATTTGGTAGTGCTATCTACCTTTCTAAGAAGATCTATGGCTTCATGATAGGTCATCTTAGAAGAATCTGATCTAATACCCTTAAGACGATCGAAACAGGTGTTGTCAATTCTTTTTGCAACAAATTTCAATTCTTCAGAGCAATTGTTCACAACCCAGTTGCAGAGGTACTTGAAAAAGTCATTAGCGCATTTCATGGAATCCTGCAAGTAACACAAAGTGCATCATGCTAGTAAATGATACAAAAACCTTTCTATCAGAAAACAAAATATACTAGTGTAAATCTGGAACATCTTGGTTCTACTAAAAAGGGTAGTGAAACCAAAGCGAACATAAGAGGATAGAATGTTCCATTCTGTTCTATCCATGCATCAAAAACTACCTAAAGGAACGTTGAACCAAACTTAATTCAGTGGGCTGGATATAACTCCAGTAGGATGGAAAACAATCCTTAAGTAACATTGAGTCAAATGGAATAAGATATTTGAATGTTTAATTAGATAGATGATATGTGAGAAATTAAGCATTTTATTGCTAAATAGTTTACGCACTGACAATGTAAAAAGTTTTTATATTGTAATCTAATCATAAATTATCATACACGATAAATTTATTGACGTTTTTAATAATACACCTAACAGACCTTTGGTTTGACAGGGTAAAAACTTTACTTTGATTTTATAAAAATTAAACTCATTGTAAATGCAGATGAACATAGAGAAGTGATACCTCCAACTGAGAAAAAGCCATTTCCACCTCAACCATCCACATTTCTGCAGCATTTTTGGCAGAACTCGTTTTATCTACTAGAAATCTGGGTCCAAACGAGTAGACATTTCCAAGTGCACATGCATAACTCTCCAGATGCAAGCGACCAGAGACAGTCAAATAAGTTTGGAAAGGGAAGAAATCCTTGGAAGAGTCGACTTTATCATCCTTTAAAGATGTTCCTAACTTCTTTTCTCTTGCTTCCAATTGTGATGCCAGGTCATTTGTTTTCTTCAGATCCTGAACTGCAGCTGCCAGTGCTTCCCTATTGCTCTCAGTTCTTTTCAAATGCTCAACTATGTTGCTTTTCTCTTTTACAGCTGCCTTCACATGTTCAAGTCTAACACCTTCATTCTCATAAATAGTTTCTAGTTTCTCCTTCTCTGCTTTCTGATTCTGATCCAGGGTGGTAACCTTGAACATGTTGCTAAATCCTTCTGAGTCTGTGGTAGTTATAGTGGGTACGTGCACATCAATAAATGCATGTTCATTGAAAAATGTGTGGGTTGCAAAAGAGAGAGCACTACGAATCCGCATGACAGTTGCCACCTATATTAATAGCATATTATAAACAAAGAAAAGGGTCTTGCTGGTAATATCAAAATTGTCACCAAATTTGCTTCTTCAAATATCATGAATTACAATATTTATTTCTAGAAAAGTTACATTTTCAGAAAACATATTCAAATCCCCAAGATGCTACATTAGCTGAGAGCCTACTAATAATATGGTATGTCATGTCATCTACATTCAATAATTAAAATGAGGTGGTCTTCTCAGTTAAAAAAAAGTATAAAGGAAAAGTCACAATAGTTAACTTATTACGTGGCAGTTTTCAGAAAATCTGATGTGTTACCATGCAAAACATTCTAGCTATCAAAAGATGAACAAGACATTATAACGGGAACTTCTCAACATTAATGTGAAACTTAATTTCACCGTGGTTGTTCGAGGCCGAAACTGGGAGTAATCTCTCAATGTATCCAGTGGAATTCGTTTTTTTGATAATGGGTACTTATCAAAATCTACAGTCCCAATGTGATGGACTTTTTCCGCTTTAAGCTCAATATCATGCTTTCCCTCTATTCGTTTTAGTTGACCTTCCACTAATAGACACGTGCCAGTAGGCATGAGCCGGCTTGGGTTTGCAACCGAGGAATCCACGACAACCTAAAAAGTGTTTAAATAACAATCAGAAACAGGAAAAAGAAAATGAAGAATGTAATTGAAATATATAGAAGAAAAGTATGATGAAAATGTTCCTACGAGTTTTTTTCATATGTACTTAAAATTAATTTCTCCAAAATTTTAATTTAACAAATATTTTTGGTATAATATTTGTAACTATTTTATTTTAATTTATACATAAACTAATTTATAAAAAAAATTCGTACAATTTTTCTAGATTTTTTATTTGAAATTATATACTAAGATCATTTCAACTTAAAAAAAATATTTTATTTTTTCTCTCTAAAAATACTTAAAGATAAAATCATCTAAATGTATTTATGTTATTTACTTAATAAATATGAAAAATATAAAAATATAAAAAAAGTAAAATTACAAATATATTTAATTATCATTGTATTTAAAATTTTTATATATATATATAATACCCACCTCTCAAAAAATTCTCTCTAAAATATTAAAGAATTCTAACATCTGTAAATATTTTGAGTTCCTAAGCATGACAATTAAAATAAAGATGTTTTATATTATACTTTAATGATAGATTAGTGTATAATTGACAACTCTTAATCTTTATCGTACTTACAAAACTTTTCTTTATTTGCCAATGTGAACGTGTATTAAAAATAAACTAAAAATGATGCCTACTCTGCTTTTTTTTTTTTTTAAGAGTTGAAAGCCATAAGTTGGTAACGTTAGTTTAGGCACATAATAAGTCATAAACTTAATGATTTAATATCAGATAATAATATTTAATATTTAGGTGTAGAAGTTAAGCATATATGTCACGTCAAACAAGTTCTCTAAATTTTGTTTTTATATTTTTGACAAAGAAAATGAAATCTTGCTTCTTGTTTCGGAAGAAGATTTGTTTCGAAAGAAGATATACGGAGAAGTTTTAATTCCCGAAAAAGTGGCTTTCTAACGAAAAATATGCTAAAAATTTTTAAACAATGTTTTAAAAGAAATGAAAAATCAATACTTTTATCCATACATAATTTGAAAAATGGTATCATATATAATTTGAAAAATGAAAAATGATATCAATTTTTTTTATCCAACAAGTCTGCAAATTCAATATGTGATGAATTCAGACAGGCCTTGTAAATTTTTTAAAAATAAGGTTACACTTTTTAATTCAATTGCGATGACTCTAATAGTTTTCTACATTTTCATCAAATATAAGTAAAAACGGTTAGTTTTTATAATAATGATTTTAAAACTCAGTTAATGTAATTTTTAATTAATTATCTGTGAAAATATTGTATACTGACCATTTATTAAATTTAAATTCCAATTTTTTATTACATTAAATTTTATGCAATTTTCTTTACATTTTTAACTAACTAGGTATGGTCTTATGTATAACTTCTAAATTAATAATTACAAAGTTTTATAACAGAGTTTATAATAGTTTTATGGAGTTAAACAAATGTGTAGTTAAATTTTTATGGAGTGTTTGGGTGTTCGTATTGTTGGATAGTTTCAGAATGCAGTCTAAAAGCAAAAGAAAATCGCAGAGACAAACAGAGCATGAAACCTGAAGGCTTTGGACGCATGACCCATCCGTTAGAAGCAGACGCGCAATTTTTGGAGGAAAAGCCTTTGTCTGATTCGGCACAGTCAGAGCAGACTCACGTTTCTTGTGCTGCGCGTGACCGCTTCCTCCGAACACATCCCATAGGTTCCGAATCAACGGTATCCGCGATTGCAGAATCTCCACACACGACACGTCCTTGCTCCTACGGTCTCTGGCGGCGTCATCCGTTCTGGTTGACGGATTCGGCGCCGTCGGGTTCTCTTCCTCCTTGGCCGACTTCACCCATCCGCCGACAACCACACGCTGTCCGGCGGCGAAGTCCGGTTGGGCGAGCAGAGCCTTGAGTTGGACGCGATCGGAGTACGGCAACGATGGGAGGCGCGGTGCATGGAGGAGAGGGAGAGGAGATGAGACGGTGTGTTGATTTGTTGTTGGCATGGTGGTGAGGAAAGCGTGAGGAGTAAGGGTATGTTTGGTTGTGTGAGTGGAGGGGAAGAGGAAGGCATGTTGGTGATATAGTGAGGAGAAAGATGCTTTGCTTGGGGAGGGTTTTGAAGTTTGAGGGAGAAGGAAAGGGATTGTTTCTGTTTCAGAGTTGGAGGAGGTTTTGTTGTGTTGGGTTTTGGGTTTGGTATTCTTTTCTGTTCGGTAATTGGGCGGGAAGTAGTCTACTCTGTTTTCCTACCTTTGTACAAACTAACACTCGGGTCGGGTTGGGTTCAAATATTTTGTAATAATATTATTTAGTTTGATCACAGGTCATGACTAATGTTACCTACATTTAGATACTTTATTTAACTCTACCTAATCTTTTTTGAGAGGTGACTGTATTCTGATTAATTTATAAAAATATTTATAATTATGATATTCGTGACTTTTTTTACATGATTGAATTTGTTAGCAATGACTTGTTACCAAAATAAAAATTTAATAGTGATTTTATATATTTAAAACTGAGGCTTGGTTAAGTTTTGAATAAATAAAAATTTAGATATCAAATTTACATTACAAAAATTCGAAAACCAAAATTATAAGCAATCAAAATTAAGGGATTAAAATTATAGGAAAAAAAGAGAGAGTAAGAAACAAAAGTATGAATTTTGTAAAATATTCAAAATTACAATTAAATCAAACATTAATGTGTTTGTTAGATCTAAAGTAAACAAACTCCATATTAGAGTTTTGATTAGTGTATACTAATATTAGTTTTTCACCTAAATTAAAAAATAAAAAGTTGTATTTTTCTGTTCATGATTCATGCATATCATAAACATTATGCAGAAACATCGTCTCTTTGGTATTCATTTCAAACTTTGTATCTATTGATGTTGCATCTCATAAGTATATCAACTTATTAGTAGATATATTCAAGTAGATATTGAACATGAAAAAAAAAAATGGAGAATAATACCTGAAAAAAATTCTTCGATGTTTAAGTTAATATTTGAAGAATGGTAGAACTATTATATTATCTCATGATTTTAAATCCCATAGGTCCAGAAGCATAATGTGATAAGTACAGTCTGATAAGTGTTAACCTAGTTTCTTCAAAATAAAGATTCTATGGGACTTGGATTGATTTTACTGAGATTTGGGAAGCTGAGTGCCAACCAATTCTGTCATTTCTAATTAAGCTGATTTTTGTCAGAAAAAATAAAGTTTATTTAAGATTAAATAAAGAAACAAAAAAGTCCTTTTTAGTTTTGAAGCATTGAAAACCGTCCTTTGGATTCATTAATTTAAAGGTTTTTTACAAAGATGCAAGGGAAGTTAGATTATGTTAGGATAATAGGACATTTGTAGCCAAGCAAGAACATGAACCAGTGTTGGGATCTGTCTTTGTACATGTAATAAGTGTTGGGAACTATCAATACATAGCAAAAGCTAAATACAACAGAGTGACAATGAAATCAAAAGCAGATAATAAACCTTGAAACTTCTATATTCTAGTGGGAAAGAACATTTATTTGTGAGAGACATGGTGGTGTAGTAAATAAACAAACTAAATACAAATGATTTTTTTTTTAAAAAAAGAAAAAAAGAGCAATGCAGAAACACTATTCATCTGAAAGTTAAACGTCAATAATAGAAGAACACTACAATTATACCCTAGTTGAAATGAAAGAATAATATTCCAAGTCTAGTCAATTGAAATCCTTAAGTCTCTTTTTGAGCATGTCCATTGATTTCCTTTTAGCAGTTTGCTTTGTGTTTTTATTTGAAAGACTTCCAAAGATTCCATCTGCAGAATCCTTGAATTTATCACAAATGGATCCTACGCTTTTATAATCCAGTGCATAGTAATTTTTCTCCCTTATGACAGGATTCATGAAGTTCTCAGGCTGACTACTTGAGAGAAGATTGATTAACTGTCGTGCTTCTATCATACAGCTCTTAAAATCACCTCCTGCATAAATTTCAGCCAAATCGGAAGAATAAAACCTGTCATCTGCAAAAGTCTCTAACATCTTAAGATCATTGTTGATATTCATAACTGCATTTGCATTAAACCTTTTGACATTATCACTAAGGAAAGCTCCCACAATTGTGTTGGAAATATGCTCAAGTGCACTAGTCCCAACCTTGTACATGGCATCTAGAGGTAAAATTTGTTGTGCTGTGGACATAAGTGAATCAAGGTAAAAGATCACTTCATTTATGTATTCATTCCCAGTTATCTTTTCCTCCTCAGTAGTCCAGTTGACACTTTCTACAAGATTCATATACTCATCTAATTTTGCATTTACCAAACTCAGCAGACTCATATAAGCTGCATCCCTCGAAGTTTTCAGTAATATCTTTGCAGTCAAAGTAGCTTGGGGCTTATAAGCTGATCGCAAGCAACACAGATGAGCTGCATGCTGAAGGAAAAAGTCACAAGCTCTTTCAAGAACGGTTATGTTTGCTGCAAGCTGCATGGCCTGAGACACACTGATACCTCCGCTATTGATTGTATCAAGCAAAGATTCATTTAATATTTCAATCAGGAACTTGTCCAAATAATTCCTCACATCATTAAAGAAATTGGAACGTAGACCATACGACAAGAAATCAACAGAGCCTTTGATGAAGTATGTCACAATGCGACAAGCATCAGGTACCATCGAGGAGAATGGTGCAACATATGGAAAAGCAGGCATAATATCTGATGTTTGAAGATTAAATGACAGAACATTATTCTCATAATCAGTTTCCTTTTTTATCACCATCTGCTCATATGTGTCATTGCCAAGAACCTCAATGGTTTGTTTCCGACATTCTACCACAAGAAGCCTATGGAATTTGTCACGGCTATTATCAATCACCTCAAGAAGTTGGCCAACGTCATATCCATATTGTGTAAGAGTAGTCACAAGAAGTGTAACATAATCCTTAACCAGGAGAAGATGGGTGGTAGATTTCATATGAGCGAATTGCACCTCTAACATTGGTGTTATTTTTGCTAAAGCAGTTTCCCACATAGTTTCAACCTGTTCAGGTTCTAGGAGCCCACCACCAGTCCTCAGGACCCTGTCCTCCACTATGAAGTACCCAGCAATTTGAGCCAAAAATGTCTGATACGAGTCAATAAAAGGTTGCATTGAAGATATCTCCAAATCCGAATTCAATTGTAACAATCTATTCTTATAGTAATATTCATGAAACTGCTTTAGGATCCCAAGGCAACTATGAATATGACAAGCGCGATAAAGAGGTGTGAGATCAAATTTCATGGCGACATCTTCATCTTCTTCAACCACCAAATTATAAGTCTGATCATCAACTCCTGAAACATTTAATCCGTCAGACTTTCTCTTCCTCTCCAGCATTTCCTTATCCCTCCGGCGTTTTGATGCAGTACGAGTAATTGCCGCTTGCCCAATTAATTTACAAGAACTTCTTATTTGTACCATCCATTCATTAACTTGGCTGCATACTTTCTTCTCGACGTGTGATTTTATGGAGGGAATTCTTTTCTCTATCACCCTTTTGAGAGACTTGGCAGGAATATTGTTTATGTAACACCTCTCAAGTAAATCAACAGTTTTCAATGCAGGATAAAACTCGCCTTCAGAAATATGATTGTTGCACTTGACACAAAGCTCCAAAACTTTCATACAGTTCTTTGACATTTTTATAGCTTCAGTCACATTCTTCTTCACTGTATATGATTCAAAAAGCTCCTCAAGCTTGACAAGAATGGCGCTGCCAACCTGCTGCAACTTAAAATTATCACTTTGGAGTTCACTCTTGAGCTCTTCAGCATCAACTAACACACCACGAAGTTCATCAACTGCAAGGATGAATTCCTCATAGTGTGTCTTGCACATTGCCTCAATTTCGGCTTCCTTTTTCTTCACCACAAAATCCAGCTGGCGTAGGAGCCCCTGTGGGCGCCCCATTTCAAAGGCATGCCTGACTAGAGGACTAATGTCATCTCCATTGGCAACCAGAGTGGCTAGAACTAGGTCTTCTCCTTCATCATGATCTACATCTGCTCTCCTTTTTGTTTTGACATCCATTGTCACTTGAATCCCCGAATCTGGAAACATATTGCTTGTCAGAAACCAAATACTAAACCGAGCCTAACACAATCTAATTAGATTACAACAATTCTCATATGACCACAGTGCCTATAAACACAACCAATCAAGAAATATTTAGATAAATGTTATGTTTAGGATTCAATTTGACCAAAATATAAGAAATAAAACGTATAGAGAATTGAGGATTTGACTAAAATTGCAGAGGAAAAAAAGATAGGAGAACCATATTGGTAGATTAGGAATTAGCCAAAAGAAAAAAGATGTAAAATCCCTCCTTTACCATCAAAAACCTTACTCCAACATATATAAATCCATACTTTACTGTTAGGGTTGAGAATCCACAGTGATCAACCTCTGTTTCATTTTTTTCATTTTCAATTCAAATTTCAAATACTCCTTGTCATCCATCCTTTTCTTTTTTTCTTGTATCAGTCAGTGAATATATTTATGTAGCATCTCCTAATAGAGAAACACTTCTGCAATCATTTGAACCACTAGAAACAGCAAACATGAGCAAACTGGGTAACTAATCAAATTACACAAGCCACTTTCGAGGCTTGGAAGTTACAAGGTATCTTAATTACTTCAACAAGAGGGATAACAAAATTTAGATACACTATTTTAGAGTTATTGGTGTTATTTTTCAATCAGATTTGGAGTATTATCACGAAACGCAAATTATCATCAACATCAAATCTTAGTTCTAATTGTGTAACAACATCTATTATCTATATCAATAAAATTATAGCAATGTATCTAAAGTTTTTCCCTTCAGAATATCTAGGGACAATCCAACTAAAACTCAACGTTAAAAATTAAACCCGTCTCTGCATTAATTCAAAGTTTGAGAATTGACAAATGAATTTGCCAAATAACTACAAGATCAGAGATTCGGAATATTAAAAAAGAGTTTATTTTAACAGAATTTTAGTTTTGTTGAAAAAGAATGTCCTTGATTCTCTAAAACTGGACAAGGCAAAGAAGAAGATAAGGAGAAATTGGTGTACCGATGGCGGTGACGAAGAAAATGACAGGAGAAGTGGAGTAGGTCGTGGGAGAAGAGAGGCTGAGGCTGGGCTTGTTCGTCACAGACAGAGACAGTCAGGTGAGGTTAGGGTGATACGTTTAAGCAGCGTACGTAACACTCTCTTTGTGTTTGTATCCATGCATGGCAATGCCACCGATCCAGTCTAACCTTTTTTAGAGATGGTTTTCCATGATAAGCGTAGGAGAGAGACATTTCAGAAAAAAAATGTATAAGTGAGAAAATTATTATTATTTAATTAGATTATTTTTTATAGTTAATAAATAATATATTTGTTTGACATCACAACATTCAATGTTTATACTATCTATATTTATATCTATTTATATATATTTATGTATCTATATATAAATAAATAAAACATATATGTAAGATATTCAGAAACAACCAAAAAAAAAAACTGAAAATAATTTTTTTCCATTCTGTTAACTTTTTCTCTTGGAAGAAAAGGAAAATAACTCATATAGTTCTTCATCGATTTTATGTTGAAAAATTCTTAGACTATGCTAAAAACCTATTATAAATTTCGTTTATTTCTAACAATTAACATGTGATAAAATTGTGATAGAGAGACATACGAAAATCCCTTTCCAAACAATGAAAATTATAAAAATGGAAAAATTTAATTGTGATTTCTCTTTCTTAGTAAAGAAAAAAAAAGTAGGAAAAGTAGTACGTTTTCTCTTTCTTAATACATTAATATTAAAATAATAATAAAATTATTAATAAGAAATAAATTATTTAAATTTTTACATATTTTCATTTTCTTTCTTTTAATTTAAAAAAAAATCATTTTTTACTCTTTTTGTCGTTTATTTCATTTTCCAATCTCTCATCTAAACAAACGAGGCATAGCGCGGCGAAATGCAATGCAACATGGGCAAATAGATGCTGCAAAGTAAGTCTCGTTGTTCTTCTCTCTTTTGTAACAGGAACGTGATTGTTTGTAATAGGAATGTGTTGAAATAGGAACCTGATTATTTGTGAAAGATTTGAATTATCCTTTTTATCTTGAGTATTCATATATCAATGTCATACAAAATTAGATTATTTGATTATGAAGAAAGAGAAAAAAAAATCAATAAAGAAAAGAAAATTAATTTCATAAACACATGAGAAAAATCTTGATGAAGCAAATCTTTAACTCATTAATGACAGTGGCTCTATAAAATCTGAAAATGAATTAAGGAAAGAAAAACTATAATTATTTACTATTAGTACAATAAATATATCAAGTGTTTCTCTTTAACTCTTCTATTTTCTCTAATAACTACAAACGTTTAAAGAAAGTGTTCTATTGAAAGAAATAAAAAGTATTAAGAGAAGCAAAAAAGTTACTTCCTCAAATAACGACAATTGAGTAATAAAATGTATAAGTATAAATATTAATTTTAATATCGATAAGTTTCTTATTATAATAATAATAATAATAATACTACTACTACTACTACTACTACTAATAATAATAATTAATCGTCTAAAACAAATATGAACAACCTGCGATAATTAATAGATGAAATACAAAATTAGTATTATATTACTATTACTATTAATTATTTACTTACTTTTTTTCTACAAGCTGGTTCCAACTGAGTTTAACTCTTTTAAACTGAATTTATTTGTTACTTCATCTACATTTTAAAACACATGTAACCAATTACACATAACTGCACCTCTATTTCTTTTGAAGCCTTTTCATCAACTTTTTTTAACAACCATTTTAATACAAATGTAAATACCATCAAGACTATGAAATGATAAAATCTTGGGGAACATCACTAAATTTTATCCCATTGGTCATTAGTTGCTGCCATTGGACACTGAGAAATAAACATGGATGATGATGCCTTGACCATTTAGCCCAATCAACACAATTTCATTGGACTCCAATCTAATTGCATTTTTGCCAAGCCTGACAATAGAACAAACTCAAAAGTCAAGAATTTAAAATAATTTAATAAATAAATGAGTGAAAATATGCTGCTAAGTTGACAAATAAATTAAAATTTGCCTTCATATAATTTTCTTCTATCTACATCTATTATCTAGGAAAAGAATGAAATCCTAGAACAAAAATTATTTGAACACCGGACAGACAAGATCCAACTTGTGTTGAGCAAGCCCCGGGTCAATTATAAGGAAAATTTGGTCCTTAGGGCTTCCTCAGGGCAGATGCTGCACCCATTACAATTGCTAGGACAAGACCAAGACCAGCACCAACAGATGCCCCCACGGCAGCAGAATTCAATGAATTTGCCTTAGCTCGGGCATCTCTACTTGCTTCAATTGACATTGCTTCTTCTCGTGCCAACTCCATCATAAGCCTATCTCTTGCAAATTCCTGAGATGAAATCATTAATAAGAAATCAAATTTGTTTATACAAAAATAAATGAGATTGTGCAATGAAAAGCATGAACAAAAATTGTGCACTAACATTGATAGTGATATCACAAAAAATACTTGTACAAGTGCAGAACAATCCTTCCTTATCATACTATGGTAAGTCAAGACCCGTTATAGTGTCAAAATGTTATTTGCTTGGCCAACAAGGCTTTTAAAATGTCAATGACCAACTATGCTAAAAAAGTTTAAGCATTCAGTAAAAGTTCATGAATCCATAGAAGTGCCATTCTATGATAACATTCTATGATAACATTTAATCAACAGCCACAATAGAAGTGCCAGAAACATATACTCTAACACTATTATTAATTATTGAAATTTATTAGGGAATTACAAAATTATGAGTGCATCGTGTCAAATAGCAAGTGAAATCTTAATAAATTTTAATTAATAATAAAGAGTGTGTTAGACCATATGTTAGCATTTCTTATAGACATAATCACAGTTTAGAAGTGAAATATAAGCAAACAAAATCATGTACTAGTAGAATTATTCAAACAAACACGAGAGATTTGATAGACTAAAGATTTTTCCCACCTGAAAAGAAGACTCCTCACGACTTCGGAGTATATGGTGAATTTGCTGACACAGAGAATTTACTCCTTCTACTGGAAACACAATCTCCCTTTTAAGGAAAGGCTTCCTAATGAAGTTAAAAGGAGCAAATATAAGCTTTTCAGCACCCATCCTTCTAGAAGAACTTGTATTAGATGCATCCAAAGAAATAGAAGCTCCAATAAATCCGGGCATAACATATGCACAAGAATTTACAACTTCAGCTGAGCTAGGTGATGCTCGGTATGCTTGCAAAGCAGCATCAATTGCTGCCTTTTGATGGTGTGCACTAACTGCAAATTTATTTGTGATTGCAAGAACCCAAGGAATTCCAAGAGATTTAGCTTCATCCAAGAAAAGTGACAGGACTGGCCTCTGTTGATTATCATTTGAATTACTACATCGAGGTATGCTATGAGATAAGTTATGAACAAAAACAATCAAATCTGTCTTCTGACTTATATCTCGTATTCCAAGCCATAGTTCATCCCTGAAGCGAGAAGTTTCTACATTTAGTTCCTGTAAAACAATTTAAAAAAAAAGTAATGTTTATATGCAACCTACACATTAACAGAAAGCTACAAGGGATCATGGCCAAGCTCTTAAAAGCAATCATAAATATGCACCTGAAATATTTGCTCAACTAGAATATTTGACAACACTTGGTTATAAGAATATTTTTCTACAAAATTTAACTGAGACGAATCTATATCCAGCTTAAGTAATTATGTATTAAGAACATTTAAAATAGGCGAGTTTGGCTATTATATCAACTGTGTTGACTAAAATATTAATCAGAATTCATTGAAACATACATTGCATGATGCATCTAATATGTAGCTAACACCACTACCCTCCTGAATATAAAAATTTTTAGGATTGTTTCAACACTTTGGCATCCATAAAAAGATCACAGTCCATTGTCATACGATTAAAGTAGAAAACAAATATAGAATGAAACTAGTACAAGCAACAGACATTCAACTTATTAACACTAGGTTGTTTGACCCATAGAGAAGGCAATACTTCAGAAATGAAGAACCTGCTGGTTTTTTTTTCTATGAATAATAACAACCTGACAAATGAAAATTATGGAAAATCGAAAACCTGCATATTTATTCCATCGGAGTCACAATAGCATAAACCATCAGCAATAACTTCTCGCACAACCTCTGAAACTGCATCCTCATTGGCGACAGTATTTTGTTTACATTTATTCAATATAGCCTTTAAAAGTGTAGTTTTACCAGCTCCCTGGACAAAGCCAACTTATGTAGGTCATTAGACAGAAAATAAAATGAGTTAAATGAACTGTCCCCAAGAAAAATTGCCTATACCTCCAGCCCAACTAATCGTACTCTGCGGGTTCTGACATGAACTTCTTTGGAAACAGTTGTAAAATCACTGGTGCAAAATATTACAAAGTTATTTAAACTTTCTGGACGGATGAATTTATCCTCGTCAACAGGTGCTGAACTACTTGCAGTCTCAGAGTCAACAGAAGTAAAAGCAGGCATCAATGAGTCTAAAACAGTTTGATGCTTTGGTGGACTTCTTAGCGGAGGACCAACTAATATTCTCAACCTCTGTAACTCTGGCTGGATTCCTTGATTTGAAGAATAGTTTGGTGGAGAAGGAAACATTTCAACTGTAGTAGAACACCTAATGAACATTAAATAAATGTCACACATGTCTGGGTATATTGAGGTTATTTTGCAGAAATAACATGCAATAAGAAACATCAGGAAAGAGGTGATGTTTTATATATTTCAATTACTATGTTGCCTACATTCCAAACATATTAGTTCTGTTTCATCCTACGACACTAAAAAAGGAATCTAGATTATACACATAAAATCAGATTCTCTTCGAGTGTTTGGTTAAGAGGATATAAATAGATAAGATGGAAATAAGTAGGAAAAATATAAATAGCTGAGAAATAAAGTGAGAATCTAAAGTGTTTGGTTTAAGAGAAATAAAGAAAAGATGAAGAGGAAGATAGAGCGACAAGTAGAAATAGGTAACAAATAATACAACGGATTCCACCATTTTTTAAAATTATTTCTTTCCTCTTTCGTTCCTGCCCAACATCCTATTTTGTTTTCATCTTCACCCATCTACAGAATCAAACAAAGACTTACAGATCCATGGGAAAAGTAAATACCGTACACATGTTCATTCAGGAACATTGCTTCAACAGAAGACAGAGTCAACGGAATTTCTCTAATAAAACAAGGTCAGTGATGGCTTCAGAAACCACCTACTCAAGCATCCATAATCTTTATAGTAATATATGTAACAAAAGCTTTACATGAACCAATGGACTGGAGAGATAATGTTGGAAAACTTTGATGTAATTTGTTCATGCAGAGGAAAACTTTGATGTAATTTGATATAATGGAACATCCTCCCACCCATTGCAATCCAATCCCCAAGATTTGAAATGATAATGAGTATCTTGAAATGTCAAGAATCCACTTCCCATCCCACTTATGAACTGCATAATCATATTGCATTCGAAATTTTACATAGCAAGTAAAGATATGTTTAAATTTTTTTTTTCCCTGTAATATTATTGGCCCAGAAATTAACAGCTGCACTTGGCCTTGAAAATTAATCATCTCCGACATAAAAGATTAAGCACATTCAGATAAGATACAAAAAGAGACCCCAAAGGTTCTGGACAGTACAGAAAAGTGATCATAAACTTGTAATTTACCGGACCACTAGAAAAATGAAAAGAAATTAATAAGAGAAACAAAAATTATGATGGAGGAAGATGTTGATGTGTCAATAAAGAGTGTGAAGATTGTGGGCTGTTAAGATCAGTTTCTTGACAGCCCAATTGAAGAGTTAATCAAAAAGGAAGTTGAAGGTGTAGATGCAACCAAACATCATTTTTTTTCCCAAATTCAGATTTCTATATTATGAATCAGAAACCATTGTTGGACCCAGATTTGATAATGAAGATGGTTGGAACATCAATGACATTAGAATCTTGGAATTTTAACTAGCTATGTGAGTTTTCAACATTAAACTTCATTGCCTCTATGGATAACAACATGGCAATGGAGTCAGAAGGAAGGTTCAGAGGTTCTTCTACAAAATCCACCTTCATCCTCACCACCACCCAAGTCACCAACCTGAATTTGAATGCAGTGGCTAGTGACAGGAAAGCATAAGAATGCTTTCAAGAATGACAAATAAAGATCATGGTGATGAAGATATGTAATGCGATCAAGTTTCCACTACTACAACCTTGTGGACAAGATTGATTTTAGGAGGGATTTATTGTTACGGTGTAAGGAGAAAGAAATGTTAGTTAAGATAATTAGAATATAAGTTAATTAGTTACTTCAAGTGTTAGTTAGATATAACTTTGATAAGAAGGATGCGAGAAGGGGTTATTCATTTTGCAGATTGAGAGCATTAGCTCTTTGTGAATGATAAATCCTTTGTCAAAGGAAAACACTTGGAGGAAGGAGTACTTTCCTATTTCTTGTTCTTTTCTTTCTATTTAATAAAAATATTTCTTTTCTTTCTCTTTTCAATTATTGGTTCCTAACATATCCTCTTTATTGCATTGTAGATGTTGTACACAATGACAGACCCTGTTTATTATGTTTAGAATCCATGAATGTATAATAGTTAATTTATTCCTTTGCTTCTCTCATAGACCACCTAGTGAAATCCTGAAAACCTTGATATTTTCTGGTACTTTAACCATTCATATTTTTACATTATAATTATTAGAAATCTTATATCGACAATATATGACCGAATCATAGTATATAACTAGGAGGTAAACCTCACCTTATAAAAAGGTTGAGTTATATCCAAGCCACTTTCTAATATAGTACAAAAGTCTATCATAGCAAAGATATGTCACCCACTATCATGTTGCTATTAGACTACCCACAAATAATATACTCTCACTCTCAAGATGTTCATTCCTCAGCATAAGGAAGTGTGTTGAAAATCACACATTGACTAAAGATATAACCAAATCATAATGAATATAAATAGGGTGTAAACCTCACTTCACTTTAGTTAAATCCAAATTCACTTACTAATAACAACTACTATTTCTTTCTGTCTCGGGCCTGCCCCCCACTACCATTCCCATAAATTTAAACAGGTTCAACTAGTCCTAAGAAATTTTATCAAAAGAAAACTAAAACAATAAATGATGTTTTATGGGGTAATGACAATACCAGTTACCATTCACTTGAGCATGAACGAGTGTACATAAATGCAACCCAAAACCAGTAATATCAACTTTCAGAGGTTCTCCATTTTTCCCTCCTAGTCCATCATTCCATCCCAAAGGAACAATTGAGGTTGCAGTTCGAATAACAGGAGACTCAACTATGTGACCAAGCTCCACAGTGCCAGCAGCTGCAAACCCGAGCCATTGCTTCAGATGAGGAAACTGATCAATCCCAGAGAAAGAAGAGGAATCATCACTCATATAAAGGTCATAGATTCTGCAACCAAAAAAGGAGAAAGAAGAAGTATTATTCCTATATGAAACACCAATTAATGTAGTAAAGCATTATCAAAACGTCAAACAATAATTAGCCCACTTAGATGGACTTTAAGAAGCTTAGAGAACATATCCACAGAAATATTTACATTAGACAAGATGAATTAGTTTGGGCATGATATAATCTTGGGCATATGATAATTTAGGTGTGTAATACTAATTTAGGAAATTATGTAAGCCCAATTCTATAAGTGTAACCGAACGAGAAAGATGAGTACCGCTGAAATCGAGATCGATATGATTTCATTGAATGTGATTGAAATCTTTCCCTCAATTCAGCAATCACAGATCTGACCTGAAAATGTCTTTGCCAAAGGAAAACAAAATGAGAGAACTTACACTACCGTATTCATAAATATAAAGTTGGAAGATAAACCCTCAGCCTAAAATGGGACACTAGAACTATTTCAAAGATCGAAATCAATGAAGAAAAGCTGCTCATACCGATGTCAACTTTGAGTACTCTGCACCTGATAGAGACTCTACAGAGGAATTTCCCAATAAATAAAGCTGTCTTGCATGAAACAAGTTCAGATGAGTTCAAAATTAATTAAAATAAAAATAGCATATAGCGCAAATAAAAGTTGGAAATGGAATCATTTTACTCATTTGCTTTTGATCCTATACATTAAAAAACTGATTTTGCATTGTCAAATGAATAAAATACAAAGCCTGGTTGATAATGATTATAGAATCCAATGCCTTAATATAGCAGATGATGAATGTAAGTAGATAACAGAAGCGAAAGAAATATGCAAAAATTGGGAGAAATCCAACTACATTCTGGACAAAGAATCAGAAAACAGAAGCAAATATGAAATTCTTGAGATCAAGAATCAGAGTGATAGAGATGACAGTGGATCTTTTTTGGGTGGAAAAGAGGAGGCAAAATATTGAGAAGTCTCATGTTTGCCAAGGATTATTGACACAATGGAAAGATCAAAACAATAATAAGCTGAAAACATGAGGAGTAGTGCAGTTTGCAAGGGAGCCTTGGGATCTTAGTATAATTACAGAACCTCTGATGCTCTGTTTCATGGCCAAAAATACTATAGGAAACTAAAAACAGAGGATTAAAAGAGTACAGGAGCATCCACATGTTCACGTTTGACCCGGGAGGATTGGAAACTATTCATTTACTACAGGGTGGAATTGGCCTAATTTTCACACTTTAACCAATTGAACATCAATTTCAAAAGTCACAAGCTGTTTACCTTGGGGACCATGTGAATGTATATGGGTGAACCATCGGCAGGGAGGACTATTAACAGTTCTGCTATTTATAAAAACAATAATAAATAAACAGTTGCTTATAAATATGAAGAGAGGTTGTTAGAGGATGATTGAGTTAGTTGGTGAGAATAAGTTTTGGTTGGGAGAGACCAGACTCTCAAATTCATGGAAGTTCATTCAGTCACTCTGGTAGATTTTTGCTCTTGTCCATTCTGCCATCATACCGGTTCAGATTAAGGATTTGAAAAAAAAAATCTAATTTCATTCTAGCTTCTTTCTTCCTATAGGAAAAATCAATCAATCTTTTGCGTGCAAGCACAATAACAATAACATGCAAAAGAAATACACCAAGAAAAAGTAAAAAAATAAAATATTATAGAATTTATGGTGACAGCAAAAGAAAACTGAAACAAATCATCAGTCCATAATATCTACCTGTCCAAATGGCACATAGGAAGGCAAATAAGGCACTCTGCGCCACTTTTTCTCATCTCCAGTCATTAAATTGTTCTTTGTATCTGTTTTCCCATTAGTTGGAAGCTCTAATGAATGTTTATCAGCTTCAGGTAAAGGCTTGAGTGATATGCCATCAGACCCTTCTTGTATTTCAAGCGACTGCGGTGCAACTACTTCCTCCTCAATCAAAGTATTAGCAAGAGAATCAGGCAATGAATTTTTAACAACAGAACTGATCCGTCTTTCCCTGCGTGTAATAAATTGTCTCCGGAGACCTTCCAAAGGAACTAGCCTTGAGAGTCTCCAGAATGATCTCTGCACAGGCCCAACCCCCAAAACCAATTGCTCTGCATCCTTCTCTTTTGGCTTCCCCACCCCTTGCTCATGCTTTCTCAATAATGAGCTGTCAGTTTCATTTTCAGAAGGCCCTGGCTGAATTTGAGCATTATAATGGTGAAAATAAGCAGGAGATAAAATACGGGGAACCAAATCTTCCGGAATGCAGTAACTCTTAAAATAATGCTGCCAACCTTTTCTATTAACATAACTGCAAATAAAAGAAAAAAAAAAAGAAAGGAAAATAATTAATTAATATTCTAGTTTTGCAGGTTTAAAAAGGATCAGCAGATAACCAATTTAGAGTGTGACAAAAAAGTACAGGGAAAACTCACTCCTTCAAAGCAGCATTTCCAACAGGAGGTTGAGAAAATGTAATACATTTGATAGAAACATTTTCATTTTCCTTTGATGAAGATGAAGTAGCAATTACTCTCAAAATGGCAAGAGTAGCTAATACAGCTACCTGTGTAGAATAGAAGGAACTTAGTATATGTAATTTGTTCAAACAAGTATGAATTAATGTTTTAAAATCCAAATGAATGAAACAAACTCACTGCTCCACCAAGTGAATGGCCACATAGAACAAGCTTGCGTTTCTTCTTTTGAGCAAGCCTGTATAATTCTAAAGCAGGTATTCCTTTAGCACGAGCCATGAAACCCTGACATGTAATATGAATTATGAAGGAAATTATTGGAATCCGTAACATAATATTTACACAAACAATATTTCTATATAAAAAAATATCCAGAAACTAATGTTGCAATTTCGTTGTTGCATGAGATCCCAAGATTATTAAGATTTTAACAGTAGAGAAATTAAAACCAAAATAGATAAGACAACCATGGAAATTGAACTATTATAAATTTACCCAAGCAACAATCTATTAGAATTGGACCAAATGGTTGAATTAATCTAAAGGTTCCTTTACATTTTGAAAATTTCCAATAAAGTCCTTCAAGTTATGTATCAGGTTCCTATAGATTCAAAGACAATAATAATAATAATAATAATAATAATAATAATAATAATAATAATAATAATAATAAACAAACTGGATTCAAAGAACTCATTATAAATGTTTAAGAAGCTATTGGGACCCAGTTACAGCTTTTAAAGTATGAGCTTATTTAAAAATTTCCAAGTAAAAGAGCCGGCAAGTTAATTTAATAAAAATATATATTATATTGGATAAAACTCATTTACCCTATGAGCTGCAGGTTTGTATTTCTTCTTTGGTTTATTAGACCTCGGCTGTAGAGGATTCCACATGTAGTCTTTTCCATTTTGGTTTTCATCATTGTCAGATTCAGTTGATGCATTCTTGTCAGATTCCTCAACAGCATCATCATGAAAGATGGCACCTTGAAGTATATTAGCATCAGCAATTACATCCCTTTCATCAAAATAAAAACAGGTAAAGATTCTTGGAAGTTAAAATGATTTTGAACGAGTTAAACGTAGAATCATATGAAAAATCTCACTTGTACTGCTTTGTTCCTATAAAGGAAGCAAATAAAGTGTCTCCTGCCTCTGCCAACAAATACCTTCAACGACATAATGATCAAATAAGTATGACAAAACAACAGCAAAACAACCAAGTCTTATCCCACTAGTTGGCATCAACTACATGAATCAAACAATTCCAAAATGTTCTATCATAGATCACGTATTCATGTGTATGGAGTATGGACAAACTGTTGACCTCTTAATCATTCATAATGGTTTCAACAGTAGTTTTTCTCAATCTCTCTTTACCACTAGGGATTGCTACTCTCCATCTAATCCATTGAGATTATTGTGGATCTTCTCCACACACACTGACAAAATCACATAAGATGAGCTTCTTTCCTACAGTACTACCCCAACTTCTTCTCTAATGCATTTGTTCCTAATCCTATCTTGCAAAACTACATAGTATGTCCCTCCATACAATGCAACATTCTCGATCCTGCTACATTGAGTTTATTCTCTTTTTGGTATTTTTCCTTAATCATGAGCAACATCTTTCTGTTACCAATAACAGCTAAATCCCTCCTCTATTTCATCCATTGCATAAGTCAAATAAAAGAAGCTTAAGGAAGACACTGCTACAAATTTGAACCCTACACTAAATAATCTTTTAGAGCCTAAGAGATGAAAGAGACAAAATACTTCAAAGCACAATTCTATTTTGAGAGAGAATGCAACAATCTAACAGGTTACCGAAACGGTAAGTGCATTATTTAAACATTTCTTCTGGACAATTTGAACTGTTAAAAAATTTACATGCTCAGTTGTTAAAAACACTAAACAGAACAAACCAAAAAATTGTTAAAAATAAAGAACACTACCAATTAATGTAAAAAAACACAAATAACCTCTTTTTCCCCCAAATTACAATCCAAATATATTCTAGAGTGAATGAGAATAATAATAAAGGTAACAACCTCCTAATATCAAAATATATTATGGCATATTGGAATTTGTGCAATTAATATAAGATTAGAAGAATGATTAAATTGTATAAAGAATGTGTGAAAACCTATGAGGAACATGATCTGATGAAGGTTGCACCCTCTCCAAAGCAACAACTTGTCCACCAAAATCTGCCTTAAATTTATTTACAGCTCGAATCATCTCTGCAGCAGGCCGCTATGGTATAGGAAGTCACAAATAACAAGGAGTAATAAGTTGATTTAACTAACTAACAAATATTCATGCAAGCATTGTCCCAAGAAAATTGTATTATAGTTACAAAGTTTCTGTAAGCACTTGTATTAGACTCTGAGAGGCATATTTCTTGCAGTTGATTCAAAGATCATAGAAAACCACAATATTTTCCTAAAGCTACTGTGTATATAGCATTTAAATAAACACTAAAGAATGTCAAAGCAGGTACGATCCTCAAAATGAATAGACAGAAATCATTATATATAATAGCATATAGGGCCTATTCAATTCATGATTCTCATAAAAGAACACTAACTTTCCAAGTATTCATCATATTCATTTATACTCTACGAAAAAAAATGTATTTCTGATTACTTTATGAAGCTATAGCTTTTACTATGTATCAATATTATACTTCGCATAAAAATATATTAAAAAAAACTAACTAATTTTCGTAAAGTATCACTCAAACATTTTGACACAGATATCTAATAAGAATTCACCCTATGCTCACATTATGTTAATGAATAGGATGACAAGGTAAAATGATCAAGTCCTATTAGATACAAGTGCAAAGTAGTTTTATACTAATAGTGTGTAGTATCCAACCGTGTCTCTCGTACTGAATTGTCTTTGAAGAACAACACTGTATAAAACCTAAACAAAATTCCAAGAGAAACCATTTGTCTACTATTTTTAGAATCACTATTTTCGAAGTTTAATAAAGAAGACCCTCGAGTGTAATTTTAATCAGATGAAGGGCACCGGTATCAAGTCATTTAACACCCCAACCTGAAACCGTATTTCTTCATACTGCAGACAAATATGACAGATACGATCATAATTGTCATCGCAAATACTCCAAAAATCCATGACACTGTTGATACAATCATAACTGTGGCCGCAAACACCCCAAACGGAAAATCTAAATACAGTTTTATACGTGTTGTTTGTCTTGTTCTTCAATTAGAATTAGATTTACATCCCCATAATAAGCAGACTCCTATTATGTAAATTTTTTTTGCATATTACCAAGGTAAAACTCCAATTCTAATTGAAAAACAACACAAACAGCATATATAGAACTGTACGTAACTTCTGTCCAGCCTCAAAGCGGACAAAAAGTATTGTTCACCAATTAGAATTAAAGTTTCATCTCAATAATATGCACAGTTCTTTCATCGTAAAACTCCAATTCTAATCAGAATAAGCACAAACAGCATCCATAGAACCGTATGCAAGTTTTGTCCTATCCCAAAAAACCCCGACATTGCCGTCAATATCATAGAGACATACCATTTTTTAAATAACAAACTTAGACACGGTATCATAAGTGCAATTGCCCTGCTCTCCAATCAAATTTAGAGTTCCACCTCGGTAATTAATTTCAAGAAAAAATATTTCATTAAATGTCATCATCGCGTAGTATGAGGTGAAACTTCAAATTCGATTGAAAAACAACACCATTAGTACAATAAGAACATATTTAAGTACACAATACCGTGTCTAAGTTTTATCGTTGTTTAAAACCTTGGCCATAGCCAATTCCAAAATTTGCCACGTGGCTCTTAAATCGCAAGCGAACCACAATTATACCCACCCCGATTCACTCAAACATTTCTTTCATTTTTATTTCCATTTTCAGAACAGTAGTGAATTGAAGCGAGGAAAGAGACCTTGTAGACGCACTCGGAGAGAACCATGCAGCAGAGGAGGTCCTGCAAATCGGCAACAGAGTCGGCCTTGAGGGCGCGGCAGAGGGAGGTGAGGCGGTGGTACTCCTCCTGGATCCGCTTCTTGTGCTCACGGTGGGAGGCCCACGGCCACTTCATCCGCCACTGGAGTGGACCCCAGGAGACCTTCTCCTTCAGGCCCAACAGCTTCGCCTGCTGGTCCCTGATCCACGGCTCCACGCGGCTCTGTATGAACTCCATAACAGCCCTAACCAGACTCACTCCCCCAAGAAGATGGAAAAGAGGAGAAACAACAACGCTTTGTGTGGTGTGGGAGGGAACTACAAGAACCAAATGGAGTCACTAGTACGCTACGCAAAACTCTATTATTGGTTGAAATTCTTTCACAATTTTATTCAATGTGTTTAATAAAGATTGAGAAAATTCATTTTCAAGTTGCATGATTTATAACCTAAATGTTTCTTATTATAAAAAAAATAACAATTTTGGGAAAATTTATTTATCCAACGTAAAAATTACTTAAACTTGTTTCAACTTATAATTATTTATGAATTTAAGCACATTATTAAAGTTATAATAACTAATATTTCAATGTAATTACAAAATAATTTAACATAAAATCAAACATCTACCTTCTATGGTTTTATTTATAATGATTAATAATTAATCAGTCAAATTTCAAAACATAATTAGATATTACTTTTTCCAATATCAATTTTAATTATGTGACTTTGATTATCAAATAAATCATATTAAAATATAGTAATATGGTATTAATTAGCTTTTTCAATGTCATGGAAGAAAAAAAAATAACAACAATACATTTGTTTTAATTTTATATTTTATTTTCAAAGTACTATTTTTTAATTTAGAGTATTTTATTCTAAAAATAGTTTATTTAAAATTATAATGAATTGGATCTTATAAAAAACATATTTTTAAATTTTATTTTATAATAAAAGCAGAATGTGCTGTGAAAATAATATATAATACACAATTTTTAAAAGAATTTAATTATAAATTCTTTTAAAATAGCCTGTAAATTGATAGTTTTTTTCTTTTGTTGTGGTATTAAAAGAATAAAATCTGCTTTTTTATTATTTAATTTGGCAAAGAAAAAAAAATGAAAGAAAAGGATAAGTAAGGGAATATGCCTATAAGGTGTGAGGTGGGGTCCACTATCCGCATTTGATGTGGGTAGTTTGGTTTGGCAGTTGCCTCCATCTATCCGTGTAGGGTTGCGTTCTTTCTTCCAAAATTCAAGCTTGGAAGAAATGTATTTCATATCTGATAAGAATATTTTAAAGAATGGTAACGTTAACTTTTTCCATGAAATATGTTTATGAACAATATTTTTTAATACAAAATTTCTTCCATTAATATGCATCTAACTAATGAATGAGAACAACATCACTAATTGATAACATATGTCTTAGATGGTTCAATCCACTTGAAAAAAGTAGTTATAATATGATGGCTAATTTTAATTTAATAGTTTAATTATAAATAAAACGAGCTTAAGTGATTGATCCATAAATTTATGATAGGATTTCTTTTATAAATTAATATTTTATATATATGATATTGTTATAACTAAAATTAGAATTAGTTTCACTGTAATAAATTAATATTTATAATTTTTATTCTTATTTAAAGTTTATTTTTTATGTACTTTTAGGTAAATTACTTTTTGATATAAATTATGATTTGTTTTCAATTTTCAATGAAATATATGACTCTGGTTTAAATACATATCAAATTATTGGATTGTTAATTTGTTTTTGTTCTTTACTTTATCCATACGATTAAATCAAGTTAGAACGAACCATTTAGTTCTACAAAAATATAATAAAATAAATTAGGCTTAATATATATATATATATATATATATATATATATATATATATATATATATATATATATATATATTACCTATGTAGTATGTCAACTATTTTTTTATCTTTATACGTTTAAATCAATCAATTCTGTCTTCTAAATTTTAAAATTTGTGATTTTATTATTTTTTTATATTTAATTTATAATTTTTGACCTAAACAAATTTAATAAAAGAACTTATTATGAATCATTATATATATATATATATATATATATATATATATATATAATTGATATTTAGTAATATTTTTTTATTGTTATAGAATTAATAAAACGATTAAATTTATATATTTTTTTAGTTTTAGACACTAATTATTCAATTTTAAAGTTTAAAAATATAAAAGGAAGAAAAATATATTTAATATCATTTAAGAAAGAGAAAAATTATATACTGTTTTAATCTATTTTTTTTATGTAGGATTTATTTTTTCTTTCGATGATTGATGTAACTGCATTTATTCAATCCTCACACATCATTTAACTAACTCTATTTTATTTTATATATTTTCTAAAAAAATGAGAAAATTTTAATCAATAATTTGATTTCTCTTTAAATAATAATATTTATATTAATTTTTTATTTTTTTTGAAAAAATGTAAAATATACACAAAACTAAAGAAACAAAACAAACCATATTATTTTGCGTTGTGACTAGTTCATCTTTATATGTTTTTCATTTCTGGTAGGCCCATATCCTGTCCTGCTACTATTACACAAGCCCAAGCCCATGGGGAAAACAAAAGAGAACAGTCGCGAAAAGAAAAAGAAAAAGTGAAGACACCGGAGCGGCACATAAGAGCAAGGATTGAAGTTCCAGAGCAGAGCTACCACCGTATGCAGAAGACGGCGCTGGTCATCTTCGCTCCGAAGATGTAAATGAAGATGTGAAAAAAGAAAACGAAGCAAATGACCTCACTGAGTTGATGTTGTGGTGATCGCAGTTCTCTATATTCCAGAAAAAAAAACGGTAAGAGTCACTTCACTTGCTTTTAATTATCTTATCTACATGTCTTTACTGTTTGTTTACCTGCTGTATTACAAGCATTATCTTGTCTACATGTCTTTACCGTTTATTTACCTGCTGCATTACAAGCATGCGTTCAGATTAGGTCAAATAGAAAATGAAAAACGATGATTTGTAGGAAAGTGCTTGTTCGCATTTGGTTATTTACGTTTATTTGCGATTTCTTTACTACGGCCTTGTATTCAGTGGCACGGCGGATCTAGGGTTTAATTTGGTTTTAATTAATAAATGAATACCAGAAGAGAAAAAAATATAAGAAGTTGATGTTATTTCTTCATTTTCAATTCAAATTATTTAGAATGATAAGAATATAGATAACAAATTATAGTTTATACTATAATCGAATATGTAT